TCTTTGCACGGTGAGGTTTTGCAGTCCGGAGCACCCCTTCGACTTGGCGAGCTTTCGCAACCCAGAGTCTTTTTCCTTGCACGGTGAGCTTTTACAGCCCGGAGCACCCCATTGACCTGACGAGCTTTTGCAGTCTAGAGTCTTCTTCCTTGCACGGTGAGCTTTTGTAGCTCAGAGTTTCCTTTATTTCTCTTGTAAACATCAGGTAAGTATTTTTACCCTCTTTAAAAGTAAAAAAAAAAAAAAGAAGAGAAGAGAAAAAAAAAGAAAAAAGAAAAGAAAAATGAGGCCTTCACAGGTATGTCTCTGAGCCATGCTCCTTATGTCAAATCCATTGTGAGAAACTTAGGCACCTCAAGTCCTTCGAGAGAAACTTAGGCACAATCTATCAAATCCTCAGGTGAGGAACCCCATATGCTCATTCTTTGAGTCTTTTCGAGCCCTACTGGCGAAACCCACCTGGCAATCCATCAAATCCTCGGGTGAAGAGTCCCGAGTGGTCATTCATTAAGTCTTTTCAAGCCCTATTGGCGAGGATCCACCCGGCAATCCATCAAGTCCTCGGGTAAGGAACCTTAGGTGCTCATTCTTTGAGTCTTTTCAAGCCTTGCTAGCAAGGACCTATCAGACAATCCATCAAATCCTCGGGTGAGGAACCCCGAGTGCTCATTCACTGAATCTTTTCAAGCCTCGCTGGCAAAGAGCCTCTGACCAATCCGATCCAACCTACTGGTATGTAAACCCAGGTACGCATCAAAGGTTTGTGATCCAACCTTAAACCACACATCAAAGGTTTGTGGTCCAACCTTAAACCGCGCTTCAAAGGTTTGTGGTCCAACCTTAAACCACGCTTCAAAGGTTTGTGGTCCAACTTAAACCAGTTTAAGGTTTGTGGTCCAACTTTAAACCACACTTTATTCATCTTATTTTATTTTTCTTATTTTATTCTCATCTTATTTTGTTTTATTTATTTATTTTATTTTTTTTTCTCTTGCGTAAAGCCAACTTTCGCTTGCCTTCCGCTGACAAATTTAGGTGTCTTTTGTCATTGAAGAGAACCTCTTCGAGCTCCCTTTCAAAGAGGGGCAGCTGTTGACACCTAAATTTGCCTATTTATTTAAGGTTTAATTGCATGAAAAATTAGGGATTGATTTTTAACCCCTAAACGAAAATATTTTCATTAAATTAATTGGCATATAGATGTTAGGCGCATTTGCATTAATAGAATTTAGTGAAAACATATTTTCCTCTTATTTTATTTCATTTTAATTTTGTGTTAAAAAATCATTATAAAAATTTATTAAAAAAAAGAAGAAAAGAGAAAAAAAAAAGAAAAAAAAAAAGAAAGTAAAGAGGGAGCTCTTCCCCATGGACAGAGGCTCTGCCTCTTTGACTTACGAAAAAGAAGAAAAGGGGGAAGAGGACGAAAAAGAGGGGTTCTGCACAAACCGAAAAAGAACGAGAATAGAGAAGGAAAAAAAAAGAAGCCAGAGGAGAACGAAGGAAGGAAGAAGGAAAAGACAAAAAGGAAAAGACGAGGGTGAGCTCTTCCATGGACTGAGGGGCGCACCTTTCTTGCTATCTCTCCGGTCTCCGTTGACATTCACACGAAAAAGGAAAACCTACAATCTGTACATGCAGAGGGGAAGTTAAGAGAGAGTTTGACCAGAGAGAAGGAGAAGAAGAACAAAGAGCTTAAAGAGAGCGAGAGAACATAGAGAGCGGGAGGGGGACGGAGAAAAAAGAAGAGCAAAAAGTGAGAGGAGAGATGGAAGGAAGAAAGGGAACAGAGCAGAGAAAAAAACAAAGAGAGTTGACTGAAATCGGTGAGTTTTGAGTCTTACCCATTCGCCGAAGGGCCACCTAAGACGCCGCCGAACCCCTCCAGCCGCCGTGGTTCGTCTGGGACAGACACGAACCAGGTGAGGGTTGGTTCTGCTCCCCTGTTTTGCTTCCTCCTCCCTTGCCTCTCGGGTGCTGGGCACACCGAGCATATTCGGTGGTCACCCGGCCCCGTCGACAGAGGCTAACATTCATTCGATACTCCATAAACCTTTTCTGAGCATTGTATGTTGAGAACATGTCATGAACCCCGTCAAAATCGAACCTGTGGATCCTTTTTTTTTGTCGCCCACCACCTATTCGACAAAATGTCCAAGTGAAACTCCGAATCCGTTTTTGTAATACCGACGCCCTAAAGTTTTGTTACATGCTTGAATGGTTCTAGTGTAGTTACTGACCCTAAGCTTTCCCTTTTTTACGTGTTTGCATGGCATATTCCGTTGTCCCCGATATCGGACACGGACGAGTGTACGAGTCGGAGCTACTGTTTGTTTTCCGGTGATGCCTTGGTTTGGAGCCCCACTGTGTCAGTTTTATATGCCTTGCTTGGTGCGTGTATGCCTGTTGTTCCAGACTTAGAGTCTGTCGTTGGGGCTGAAAGCTGGGTGGTCGGAAAGTGCGTTTGTCGTCGTGGAAAGTTGTGGCCGTTTCTCTAAGTGGCTGGTGTGGTTGCCGAAGCGTCGTCTGGCGGTGACGGTGTACGGACAGCGTTCGCCGTCAGCGCTAGCGGCCCAAGCCGATGGCTGGCGGTGAGGTTCCTAGCGTGGTCTCGGTTGGACGCGTGAAGAAGTTCTTGGTGAAAGCATCAGAAGTTGTCTTGGTGAAGAACAGTGAAGAAGGGGACGTTCTGGGCAGAAAGTCACGCAAGAGGGGAAGAAAAGTTTTTCTATAATAAATATAAAAAAAACAGAAAAAGAAAACGAAACAAAAAAGGGAAAAGAAAAGAGGGATAAAAAAATCAGAAAAGAAAAAGAAAAATGGATCCTGGGCGGGTCAGAGAGAGTCGGGTCAGGTGTCGGGCGGATCGGGCCAGGGGACCCGGTCCGGAGTTCTTATTTTATTAATTAAAATATTAAAATATTAAAAAATATATAAAAATATTAAAAATTCCAAAAAATTCGAAAATGTTTAAAAATCCAAAAAAATGTTAAAAAGTCTGAAAAAAAACATTAGAAAAACATTAAAAAATTCAGAGAATTAAAAAAAATTTTAAAAAATTCATAAAAATTCCAAAAAAAAAATCTGGAAAATCAAAAAACATTATTTGGGATTTGGAATTGATTTTTCTTACCCTTTTGTGTGATTAGTATCTTGTTTGATTGCACGTTGCTTGATTCACACACTTTGAAATGCTCGTTTAATTTAACCTCGCATGTGGTTGATTATGCATGTTAGGTTCATGTATTGATTGTTGCTTCCCTTAGCTTGGTTAGGGATGGAATTTTGAGATTCCCAATTAGTGTGAAGATGTTAGGCGGTAATTGAGCAAAGTTAGGTACCGAAAGGGCACTAATTGATCAATTAGTGTAATCAAGTCTCCGTACCCATTGAATCTCTGGTTCGTAGAAGTGAAGCATTTCTCCTGTGCTTCACTTAGGTGTCTAATCGACCCACTAAAAACTGATTAGTGGCGACTCCTAGATGAAATTGATTTGCATGTTAACAACTTAAACTTAAGTCGCGAATTGGTATGGGCTTGGGAGAGCTCGAGCTAGGTTTAATTTAGTAATCCATTAGCTTAACCCCTTAGGCGGCGGGGTCGGTTCGGGGAGGTCGCGACAGGGTTCCTCTTTTGGGTGCAACCGTTGACTCTTGAGTTGGGCCATCTTGAGAGATAAGCACTTCCGAACTTCTCCGAGGCTACAAATAACATAATCATATTGTTAATAAAAAGAAATACCATAAATAAATTAAATGCAGGAGTCCTACAAAACTTACATTCAAAATAATCAGTCCAGTAGCTCATCTGTAAAAAGGCCATAATCATATTGTCTTAGCCTTTTCCCGAGAGCCCCTCTTGTTCGCAGTGGTGCCTCACTTTCAGCAACTTTTGCAGTTGGTCTTCTTCTCACATGATAAAGACATATCAAAGTTAAACTTCAGCCCGACAAATAACACAAACACCAATTGTATAGCTTACGGGACATTTTCTCCTCGTCTGGTCAACAGTCGACTCAGTGGTTGGCTCTTTGGCTGGCCCTTCAGTTTGCCCTTGAGCTGGCCCTTGAGCTGACCCTCCAGCTGGCCCTGTATCAGCCCCTTGAGCTGGCTCTTGAGCTGACCCTCCAGCTGGCCTTGCATCAGCCCCTTGAGCTGGCCCTCCAGCTGGGACTGTATTAGCCCCTACAGCAGGCCCTTCAATTAGCCCTTGGGCTGGCCCTGTATTAGCCCCTACATGTGGCTGTTGTTGATGTTGTTTCTTTAATGCACAACCCTTTTTATTGTGCCATTCCTTTTGGCAATAGGAGCACGTCATCTTTACACCAGTCCTGTTCATTCTCTGAGTTGAAATCTCTCCCTCCTGTATTCTTCGTTTCTTTTTTGGCCTTCCAATTTTCTTCTTTAGTGGCAAAGGTTTAGGGGCTTCATGGTTTGTTGGCTCCTAGAATTTGCTACTTCTGATAGGCTGCATCATGAACTTTTACGAAGCAAGATATGTCATTTTCTTGTACCAATCATCTAAGTAATCCTCTGGGTTTTGTTGCTTCAATTGGATGACATAAATGGCATGTGCACAAAGAATTCCAGTTAGTTGCCAAGCTCGACATGAACACTTTCGCCTCTCTAGATGGACGACATATTTATCAACATTGTTCATGATCTCATATCCATCATCTCCATTCCAAATTGGATGACAGAACCTACTAGTAGCTGTGTTCTCATCCAATCTCTTTGCAATCCTGGGACCACATTGTCTAGTCCACTTTGTAGCCTCATCTCTGTCTATAGAGCCGAGTCATGACCATAACTCGTATGTCTTCAAGCATGCTAATGATGGGTTTGCACCTAGCCTCTAGTACTCTGCTATTGAAAGCTTCGCTGAGGTTGTTGTCAATGATATCGCACTTGAATTCTTCGCTGAAGAAGGCTCTACAACAATGCTTAGGTTCCGTTTCGAACAATGCTTCAAAACCTTCATTTGACAACTGAAACAACTCCTACTTGGCTATTCTAAAATCAGCCATGTTTGTGCTCTTTGCTATATGCCAAACTTGCTTTTGCAGCCTATCCCCTTTATAATTCTTTGCCCAGTTTGCATATATGTGCCTTGCACACATTTTATGTTCAGCATATGGCATCAACTCAGCTAATGCAGGAACAAGTCCCTACAATAATTCAAACCAGAAAATACTTGTAACAAAAAATATGCGATTAATATTAGAAAGCAATAGTTTTAAATGGCATTACCTTTTGTTGGTTGCTCATGAATGCCCAACCTTCCCCATTGGTTATCTCAAGGTCAGCCATTATATTTTTAAGAAACCAGGACCAAGTGTCCTTGGATTCTACTTTGACAACAGCCCAAGCTATTGGAAACATTTGGTTATTGGCATCTCTCCCAACAGCAGCCAACAACTCTCCCTTGCATAAACCCTTCAAGAAAACATCCATCCAATCCGACAATTTTTCTACAACCAATCAAAAATCTCCGTTCGCATGCATCAAAGCAAACATAAAACCTATCGAACTTAGTCCCACAGTCAGGCAATGGCCTCTCAATAACCTCTACATATTCTCTACTAGATGGGTTTTGAAGCATACATTCGCAAGCATAATCCCAAACCTGGCCATATTCTTCCTTGTACTGACCTATTAGTGTACTTATCACCTTCTGCTTGGCTCTTTTGCACTGATTCCTCGATACATTAACCCCTACCTGCTCCTTCACCAACTGCTTTAACTGAGGACTTTTAATCTCGGGCATCGCCTTAATAGTATTGAAGAAGTGCTTCGACAACCATACACTTGTTACCCTTTTATTGTCAAATATAATGGAACAAGTATGTTCCTCCTGCAATGACCCACTTTTCGTATTCAGTGCACCATAGATCTTCCATGAACAATTTGGTTGCAAACACTTAGCTCTCATAAATTCTTTCGTATTTCTAATAAATTCAACACTCCTTTGTTCAGCAATGGAGTTCTTGACAATAGCTTCTTTAAACAGTTTCGCATTGTCAAATTTCATTCCTACGGACAAAATAGAACATGCAGTAGTCGGATCATAAAAAGGAAACTTACTTTTCCTTCTACGGACAGGTAATTCGTCATCTTCAAGCTCGTTCTCGGAGCTAGCACTCTCACCTTCACCGCCATTCTATTCATATTCAGTCTTATTACCATCAGCTGGAGCTTCTTCGTTCCTATTCACTGGTTGTGGTTTATGCGATTCTCTCAATGATGCAAATTTATTTCTCAGAAAGTCTCTCTGCTTTTGCCTTGATTGTGCGAGTTCTTCATCGTCATCGTCATCACTTAGGAAATTTACATTTGCCAAAACTTCATCATCCGATTCACTAGATTGAGCAACTTCCCAATTTAATCCGGTCAAATCTTCATCAAGTATGTCTTCACTAGAAACTTGGGGACATCATCTTGTTTGCTCAACTCTCTCTATATGACTTGCCTCCATCTCCGACCTTAGTTGTTGCCTTTCAGTGCTCTCATCATCTTCACTGTCATTGTAATACTCAACATATACTTTAGCTTCCTCGCCATGAAGATAATGGTAAATAATGTCGTTAACACCATTATCATCACTAAAGAATCTCAAGCCGTCCTTTAAGCCTTTCCCAGGAACACAATAATGCAATTTATGTACTTTGCATCGTAAATAATGCACCATGTCCCTCATGAATTCAATATATGATGACCTCCTTATATAAAAAAAAATAGTAACTTCATTTCCACCAACATATTCCCATTCCTCGGTGCCAATGACAAATTCCCCACCATAGCAAATAATGATGGCGACAACATTGTCCCCTATGCCCATGTTGCATAGAAAGAAAACAAAATAATCAGCTTTTGGGACCACAATGCACAAAAGCCAACAAGTTGCTCTAATTGTCTCGTTAGACTAAGTCAACACCCTTGCAAGCTGTTTCAATGTACAGTAACACAATGAAATTTACCCAATGAAGAAACACATAGTTGAGTTACAATGCACCAAATCAAACATGTTCACAGGTCTGGTAGAACATTATCAGATATGTAGGAGTACATCTGAGTTCATAATTCATATGCTTGTGCTAGAACCTAATATATAACATTTAGACTTGCATTTTTTGAGTATACTCTGATCATCCATGTTACTCAAATTACACCCTCAGAACATAGCCAACTTTTGACAATATTTTTTGTTATTGAATAGGGACAGATTGACACTCTTCTGAAGTTCAATCAGATTTCACATATCCCTGGAGTGCATAGCTATTCTGGAGAGATCCTGTCCACAAGGAATTCAATCCTTCCGTCGCCTACAGACTTGCTATTTGCTTGACTAATTCTTTGTTGTGACACTACAAGGGTGATGATTATGTACATGTGGAATTCGCCACTTACTTGGCCTCATGTGAGTAAAATACAATAAAGAGACGTGTGTATTACACTCTGGAGGATCCCAGAAGAAAACAAAATAATTACCAAATTGGGACCACAAGGCACAAAAGCCAACAAGTTCACATGGAGGATCCCACAACCACGAAATAACTGGCACCGAGCCTTACTTTAGTCGCTGTCGTTTAGTAGAAATGAAGCAACACAATTGGCACCGAGCCTTACTTTTGCCTTCACAGTCAGAACTTGTGGTCCCCACAATCACAATTTCGCAATTCCTTCTCTACTACTGTCATGTCTAGTTTATCTCTACCCTCAAGCTTTAGTTTTGCTCTCGGAGCCATAATTATGCCCTCAGAGCCGTAATTGTCCCCTCTCGGAGCCCTAATTTTGCCATCCAATTGAGCCATGGAGAGAATATGACATACCTGAATGACTGAGGATAAGAGATGACACGCAAGCGGCAGCCAGCGACGACGGCGACGGAGAACAGCGACCGACGGTGACGGAGTACAGTGACGACAACGGGAACTTCCTTCGCCTCAACGATGACCAGACGAGCCCTAATTTGGTCTTCATCGTCCACGTCGTTCAATTATCAAGGGGAAACGACGTCGCATTCTTCTCCCAAGCCACGTTGGCGATGCGACGTCGTTATTGAAGTCCACGTGGACTTTATTTTTTAAAAAATATGCCAAGTCATTTACAAGATTTAATTAAAAATGCCACGTATACATTTTGGCCGAAATATCTTGGCGTTGGCACTGAAGTGATCGTTTTTTCTCCGACTTGGCACTTAAGTGAGCCGGTGAAAACTTTTGGCATTAAAGTGAGCGCCGTACACAAGTTTTGGCACTTCTGCTGTTATTCTCCCCTCTGATGTGACTATTATATTCTGGAGCTGAGTTGGTGCTTCGAAATTGGGGGAATACCAAAATAGGATTTCGATGTAGGGTTTATATTTGGGGCAAAACATGTAGACGATGTTGTTTTTGGGTAAATATGTTGATTGGGTATGCCGACGAGTCACGTCAGTCAGAGAAATTAATAAAATATTGCCATGTCAGATTTCTGGCAAGTCGAATTGGAGTTGACACTTAAGTGATTGTGTTTTTTTGAAAAGTAGTACTAAAGTGATCCGATGAACTTTTGGCACCAAAGTGAGCACCGTACCAAATTTTTGGCACTTCTAGTGTTCTTATGCCCATTCACATGAAAGTAACATTCTAACTGTGATACTGAGGGGTTATCTAGCATACTAATTGACCAATTAAATCCATCCATTTCTTCCGATCTATATTCAATGCCTAGGATAGCAGGAACGGCATTTAATATGCTCCTATAAAATAAGACAACGAGAACTTATTAATTTGATCCACACCAGGTTTCGAACTTTTGCTAGACCAAGAATTACGTTGTCCATGCATTGTCGAATATTGATGACTCCTAGAAGTGAAGCTGTTAAATGGTATTTTCAACGGAGAAATTCACGTAAAAGAGCGGTGATACCTGTAAAAATATGCAATCTTACGAACGCAGCTTTGGCTCTTACATAAGAAAGCAAGAACTAACGAAGGGCGAGAAACAAGAAAAGGAGGTCGGACACACACATGGCTTCACTCCGCAGAATCGCAACTGGAGTAGTTCTGCTCCTCCTCGCGGGCAACGGTATAGAAGGCGGTCCAAACGCATCTGTGCAATACCGAATCTGTAACGAAAACCGTGGAAGCATAATCTACATTGACGATGTCCATGATCTCCTTCAAGATTTAGTCGACACGACACCAAGCTCTGGCTACGCTTACACAAACGAGAGAAACCAAGTCTTTTCTGTTCGTTGCTACGGCCATGGAAAGTGCAACGGGATTCTCTCTTATGAGGATTGCCACCAATGCTTACTTGTTGCTAGTAATATACTACAAGTGAACTGCCCTTGGAGCATTGGCGTGAAAATTCAACTCATGGATTGTAGAATTCGGTACGAAAATTATGACTTTGCCGAAAATTAGCAAGCAGATTAAGACATGCATCTCAATATTTTCAAACTTATGGAAAAATCTATTATACTAAATAACTTGAAAGGTAAGAAAGATAATAATTTATGGGCCTTTCTCTCACTGCTTCAGGCTTTGAGCTTCTGATGTGTGTTATGGGTCTTGTGGCCTTTGTGAACGGGCGTTATGTCATTTCGTTTCATAGTCCTTTCGGCCTTTTGCTTTTTTAATGTTCTACATACTTATACAATATACATGTTGTGTACTCAATTGACTATGAATACAGTCTCATACTCTCGACCCATTCCGCAAAAGTTAATCTCAGCTGATGATGGGCCGAACTACTATCATTACCGTTATTCAGTGTTTTTGGAGAAAATCGTATATGTGTAATAACGTATGCAATCTACATTTTGAGACAGATAGACTATCGCATACCATGAGGAATCGATTAATGATTAATCAATGTTAATAGTCAAGCTACAAAGATGTCACGTGACCGCACAAAAAATAACAAACAATAAGATAAGAGAAAGATACAACCTCGGATACCACGCCACTGGGGGCGACCAACACCACTCGGCATCGTTAATTGAACGGGTGTAACTCAACTCGACCAAACACCACTCGGCATTATTAACAAGACGAAATCAGAAAAGTAAGTCGTCTAGTATATACGAGATTTCAAATCATTGTTGAAGTAACAAGAATTTCATCATCTATTTCATTTGAATTACTATAGCTTCTCGAAGAACAGTTGATGACTATAAAATCATTCTTTTCTATATGCACATTGCTCTAGCTTTGTGTAGTAGACGCAGCAACATAACAGAAGAGTAACCAGAGAAGGAAGCAGAAGACGCACGGGGCTTCATTTTCCACGATTTACAATTACAGTAATTTCATTCCTCTGTACGTGCATTATTATCAAAGAATATGCAGATCAAAGAATTAGTATACAAAATTTGCAATGGATACTAATTATAC